AAAAAAAAAATTATGGAGAATAAGTTTTGATCTACTTGGCCAAATTGTTCAAAGCAAGTGGCTGAGTGAATTCTGCCAGAAAATAGGATAAAAAAGAAACCATGATGTAAAGATCAAAGAACAAAAGTGCTTTCTGAAGAGATCAATAAGTGAATATGGTTTTTTATTTTTTAAAAATAGCCAGACATGACTTAATAAAGCAATAAATTCTCTTGAAATTTAGTATCTGAATTTGGTTTACAAAATTCTGAAAACCATTGTAAAAAGTTCTCCAATTCTTTTCCCCACATTTCCCACTTCATGGAATCCATTTTTACCTTTGACAAGCGCTAATCTGCTAGCCACCTCTATTCATTTACTCATTGAATAGTTTTTGCCAAAGATAATAGTTAGTACACTCAGGAACCCGCCCAGAGTAACATGCTTTAAGAGCCAGTCTTCTATAAGTCAACAAAACAAAAACTCAATGGAAAATGGTCAGGAGTTGTGAACAGAAACGTCACCAAAAAGAAAACTCAGATGGCTAATAACACATGAAAAGTTATGTTCAATTTTTCTATTTATTGGGAAAATACAACTTACAGAAACAACTTTCACTCATCCGTCTGACCTTATCAAGTATGTGGGGAAATGTGGGTAAATAGGCATTCTCACACAGGGCTGGTGGGAAGGAAGGCAATCTGATGATGCCTAGCATCATCAACTGAGGATGTGCCTACCCCTGTGGTGTAACAAGTCTACCATCTACAAATGTTCACAGATACGTACAAAGAGATTTAGGGATGCTCGATTCAGCACTTTAATGTAATATGGAAAAACTGGAAACTTCCTGAATGTCCCTCAGTGGAGGAAAGAGTAAATAAATGAGGCATGAAATGTCAAACAGCCATTAAAAGGAATAAACTTGATCTAGATAGATCAACATAGATAAATATGAGAAACAATGTTGAATGCAAAAGCAAGCTGCAGGAGATGAATGATATAATACCATTTATGAAACTTTAAAAAATACTAGCCAATAGTACTAAAGATTGTTTCCAAATACATGTACATGTATGTAAAGTATTAAAAATGGACTGGGATGATATAGCAAATTACAGACTGCATTCTAGGGGAAAGGAATAAGACTGTTGGTGAGAGGGGACATTACCATTATCTGGAATACTATTCCTTATTTTTATATCCTTTTTTCTTAAATTTCCTAACATTAGAAAAGAGATTATTTCCTGGCACAGGGAAAAAAGTTGTTAATTCTGGTGGCAGATAATCTGATATGGGTGTTTGCTACATTACTCTGTTCTTTTTAATATGCTGCAAAATCTTCCTTGCCCCCAAAACACCAGAGAAAACTTTTGGAAGACACTTGGGAATACAGTTTGGTCATATTTTCATGTTGTCTAGTTTTTGCTTTCATGTCTCATCTCCTAATCTAAGCTCTTTAGTCCTCAGTAGATTCAGTGCTTCCCATAACACTAGTAGAATGCTGTGTAACCAGCTGGGCTACAAGTGCTTAGCAACTGAGATCATTATTGTGGTATTTTCTCAAAATTTTTAAGAAAACTCAGTAAATGCTGTACAACTTTAAATATCATGGCCAACTTAGTTTACCAGGTTCTTTATTTAAACAAAAGAGTACTTAATTTGGAAATATCATACTTAGCTCACATCTATCATCCTTTACCTGTGATGTGTCCGTTGTGCTCCTTGAGTTCATGAGCTTTCACCCACTGGCTCCCATTTTTCTTATAGATGTGCACTTCATGATTATTGGGGCTAAGAGCAATTTCTGGAGAAAGAATATAATAGTTAACACCTGAAGTTGAAATTGTCACCAAAAAAAGGGACATGTCACAGCTGGCATTTTAAAAACAGACAGAAGTAAGGAATAGGAAAGCCATTTTTAAAAAGTGGTTCATAAATTCACCCCTGAAGAATTCCTCTTAATTTCTGTTAGACTTTCTGAAACACTAAAAATAGCTTATGGATTCCCAGTACTACTATCATAGATCTAGGCTAGAACCACTAGTTTATCAAAAAACTTGATTCTGCTGATAAACTATGCCAAGTTCTCCTTTACAATAAAGCCAATATAAATAACAAAACAAAATTCTGTTTCCAAGAGAAATCTCCTGGACCAATCAAAAATATTATATGAGAAATGGATTTTTTAAAAAATTCATACAAGTTGAGCATCCCTAATCTAAAAATCTGAAATGCTCCAAAATCCAAAACTTTTTT